GTCAAATTTCCAAAGTGAAATTTATAATACTTTTAGTTACTTGTTAATAACTTATTTCTGCATGCTTTATACTAATATACTACTACATATTATGCAAAGTTTTTCACATACACAATCTAGTTAAATTTAAACTACAATCCTTTGTGTTTGTAGTAATCTTTAAAATACATAAACCAAATGTGTCTCTTATAAGAGATGATTTTGGTGCTCTAAAATCTGGTGGACTATGATAGAGCCAGGATCAGAACTAATACTTTCTGCATTTAACATGGTTTGCTTTTCATTTTACCATAAATATATTGAATACAGGATTGTGACATCAATTTTTTAGAATTTTGGTGGTAATTTTAAATTGAGAGTTTTGAAAATGAGCTTTGAAATAAATGTAAGAAATTGGTCTTAGTCTATGCTACCCCTAGATATTTTATACACATTGGAAGATTTAGAGTCATGAGTATAAATTCTAATGTGGTGTTTCAAAACTTATTTTCTGAGAAATTGACAATAAAAAATTATGTGACCATTTTCTGATCTAAGATTACATTCTAGGGTCATATTGTTCAATTTTATTCTTGTTTTTCTTACAAATTAAAGCCAGAGTGCCTAGAGTAGGAATGAACCAGGGTTGTAGTTATGGTTGAACTCAGTGTAAGCATCTGTGCCTTATTTCTGGATATAATTTTGAAATGCTTTTTTTCTAAACACCAATACTTAATTTTTAGTTGATTCATGTTTTTATTTCAGTTGAATGATTTTCCTGGTGGATATATAAAAATACTTGTAAACATACTATTGTACATTATGATAAGAGATTGATGAAAATGACAGGGAAAATTTATATTTTTATTAATAATAATTCACTTCTGAATGGAATGTACCATATTCTCTAGACTTTTTGTCAACATTTTTTTCACTTTGCCAGTATAGAAATATAATTTTCTAGCAAACCTTTGATCTGTTAATAACCATTAAATATGGAGATTTTTCCATTTATTAATAATGCTATCATTTTCACATTGATATGTACAAATATGAATGTCATAAAATAAGTGGATTTCTAAAAATGATTGAATGTTTTAATACTTGCAAGTTATAAGATAATATAAGACATGAGAGATCAACACATACACACACACTTAAAAGAATATATAATTCAAACCCAAAGGCAATAGTGAAAATAACAACTGAGTTAGATTTTATTAACAGGAAAGAAAACATTTTAAAAATGGAGGACCATTACTCTTTTAAACAAAACTGTTCCTTAGGATATCCTGCAAATTGTTATGTGTGATAAGATTGGAGGGGAAAAAATCTTGTCTTTCAGAGGCATCAATCTTACTGATGTTCACTTATGAGACAAGTGACTTAAAATATGAGTAAAATCATGACATGAGGTGATGAAGGGGATGAAATGTTTTGTCCCCTATTCATTTTTAAATTTTATAAATATTTTTCTCTTCTAATTCTACTTTATTGTCTATTAGTCCAGCTGATTATATGTTGTTGTAATTGTCAACATACTTATTATACAATTACTGATTGTGTTAATCAGTGGTTTTTGGACAAAAAAGAAATTGCTTGCTAAATTATAATATCTGCTATTCAATTTTTCTTTAGAAAACTGCTGTAGTTCCCTGTAGCTGAATTAAAATTCAAGAATCCTTTAAAGTTAATAACTTATCTTTTTAGAAATTTAAAAATAACCATTGATCTATGAGCTAGCATCAATGCCTCATCTAGCTCTGATGGCTGTCTTCCTTCTCTGACAAGGGCCACAGAATTCTATTACTTGCCTCTTTGTCACTTTGCCTCCTCCTTTTCTCTGTGTCTTCTCTTCTTTCTCTTTTAAATCTTTTGCCTTTGTCTTATAAGGACACTTGGCATTGGAACTAGGCCCACCCCAAACCAGGGTGATCTCATCTTAAAATACTTAATGATGTCTGTGAAAAACCTTGTTTTCAGATAAAATAACATTACTAGATTCCAGGAATTAGACATGGACATATATTTTGATGGTCACCTTTTATCTCACCATAGCAGTACAAAGGAATTCCTTACTCAATTCTTGTAACTTTTCTATTAGTTTGAAACAAAAATTTAAAAATGAACAGATTACATTGACAAATGGTATAATAATCTGAAAATCATGATATCTGACAAGCCAACTGTCTTTAAAGATAAACTTTAAAAAATATATACAGACACATCAAATGGAAATAAGGTATTTTGTGAGTGTGTGCTTCATCATTCACACTTTGAAGTCGGTAGAGATTATGAGATGTCAAAGCTACCACATTTTCTGGCCTCTCAAACTTTTGCTTTAATCTTCCTAGAACATTTAGGATATCAAAGGTCACTTTTATTTAAAAAGGAAGAGCCATGTTCTTAACTTTACAATCTTTGCAGGAGGAAGTAAAACAGACATTCTATGATGTTAATTGCCATGAAATGACAACTTTTTCTCAGATAATAGGTAGTTAAGCCCAAAGGAATATTTTTAGTTTGTTTGAACTTTGATTAGTTTGTTTGTCTTCTTTTTAAAAATGTGCATTGATCTTAAGAATAACCCTTTATTCCCATTTTAAAATAATCATTCTGCCTTAAATTTGATTGTAAGAAACAATCAAATTTGAATTAAAGTAGCCTTATATAATTTCTGCACTATAAGTGATAAACGAATGAGTCCAATCAAACAAATTTGTACTAAATAACAGTCCATTCTCATAGCTGGAACCATGAAGACCACATGGAATTCAATTGAAGCAACAGCTGGAAAAAACGTGCACACATGAATACACATGCGCTTACATGTAACACAAAACTATTTTAATCCTTGACTGGGATAAACAAAGTAAAGGATGTTTTTACTAATTGTAGGAATTAGCTATTTAACAATTGGCTGCAGTAACTCTAGTCTATTTGAGCTTCTTGAGGCTTTAGGATTGTGCTTTTTGCATTCTACCTCTGTTATCTAGTGCATTATTTTAAGTAAATACCGGCTAGATGAGTGCAGGCGTAATGGTGATTGAGTGATCTAATTCACAAAGCAGCCAATTATAGTCAATCACAAATGCACTAAAGTTAGATCAAATAATCATGGTAGTGCAACTTATAATCATATGTGTGTACATACATTTACTTCTTTTTTTCGTGGACAGTTTTTAAGAATTGTGAAGTAATAGATGCTAAATATAAAAGCAACCTCAGGTGGTCATCTGATTTTATGCCTTTCTTCAAGAGACAAGCAATTATTATTCCCATGATCTATTAAGCCACATTTTCTTTAGCATGTGACAGCTAAGGTGATGTTGATCAAAAAATATTGCTCTCCATTCTTAAACAATTTCACATGCACATAGATGTTTAACAAGTGTCTTTTCAGAGCTATTATGAGAAAACACTAGCAGCCTTGGTCTGGAGGAATAATTTATGACACTACGTAAATGGTGTCCAGGATCACTTGCTCACATTAGCCCTGCAGTAGCCCTGTCCCTGCACTGCTTGCGGTCCTTCTCTAATCTTGGTGACAAGTGTGATTAAAAAAAAAAATGATGACACCAGGAGTCCTTAGTTGCTCACTCTGTTTCTTTTTCTAATACCTGCTGCCTCTGATCATCTGTCAGTAAGTTAACAGAGAAGGGAGTGCAAGAAGAAACTGCAGAGGGGTGAATGAGTGAGTGTGAGAGGAGTGAGTTAATAGGATGCCTTGTCTGTTACTTCCCTCCCCTGCCTTTCTTTCCTTTTGGTTCATTAAGTAGAAATGTGGAAAGGTGAGGGAGATGAATTTAACATGTTCAGACGCTATGAGGGACAAGGAAGTGTAGTGGCTTTCACAATATTTCCGTCCAGAGAGGTGGTTGGAAAACATGCTATGTGGTTAGCTGTTGTAATGAAAAACGTAAGAATGATCCAGAAGAACAGTGGACTAAGTTATGAGAGTAAGGCAAAAGTGCTGAAGTTTTTAGCAACTTGCAAAATTGAGAGATAGTATCTGGACTGTGCAAACACATTGAGCTGATTAATTTTCCTGGGGTGAAATATGAAAATATTTACAAAATTGAGAATCCTGCCCTGAGTAAAATTTTCTCTGTGATTGCAATAAGCTAAAATAAGTCATAACTTATATCTGTTTCATTAGAAATTATAAAAATGGTTAAACAATAAAGAACTGAAAAAAAGGTTTCATCCTGAGAGTAATATGAATCTGTGTTTGGGCATCACTCTAAATTGCTTAAAACGTTGAAGAATATTCAAAAACGAAGTAAGGACTAATTTATTTTATGCAATTTTTAATTCAGTTTTCTAAATATTGGTTGGGAGTTGTATTACTCTTTCTTCAGATCCAGTTTTCATGTATAAAAACCATGGTTTCCAATATGAAGGTAAAAAATTTTCAAGTTCAAGATAATTAGGTCTTTAGCTTTAATGACAGCGGAAATTCAGGTGTAATTTAGAAAGAATCTGTTTGGATTTTAGTTTTTCTCTTAGATCTAAAATGAAAGGTCTTAATTATAATGTATTTGTAAATTCTTAGGAATATATTTGAAAAACATTTTGATACAAAGAAAAGGCTAATTGGGAAGAAAACATCCTGATGTATAAAGCATTTCTCTTGTATGAAGCTCTAGAAATATTCTACTGTCAATCCAGACAGAACAAACTAAAATGAGATAATTGGGAAGGTGCCCATAAAGTCAGCCTGAATATATTATCACAACTATATATGAGATAATATTTGTTTTAAAAAGATTCTATGGCACTGTAAACTCAGTCTCATTAGAGACTGCATTTAAAAGGCTTATAAAGTTACTCATTAATGTTATCTTGTTGCATCTCCACAGCTTTTTCATTAAAGAAAATTCAGCAGAAAGCATTTTCTCCTGATAGCAGGAACCAATTTGCAATAAATGTTCTGGAAACCACTAGGGAAGCCATTACTGAGGTCTAATAAAAACAGACAAGCGTAACTTGTTCTATATTTTTGTTTCAATCACATACAGATGAGACCCCACTTTCTACACCAACCGCAAGAGACAGCCTCGACAAACTTTCTCTAACTGGGCATGGACAACCACTACCTCCAGGTTTCCCATCTCCTTTTCTGTTTCCTGATGGACTGTCTTCCATAGAGACCCTGCTGACCAATATACAGGTAGGCCTTTGTACATTCTGTAAGAAAGGAAAATGTTCCAACTTAATCATTCAGGATATAAAATAAGCCATGGTATTAAACTTTTCCCCAGTAAACGTATATTTTAAACTTGCTACGCTAATAATTAAATTGGTTTAGGAATAGGCATATTAAGCTATTTTAAAAACTTAGGTGAAAATGACACCAGCATTTAAAAAGCCATTCTGCCTTAATCCTATCTTTATTGCCAACAAATTTAGCTGTTTAAGTTGGTTTGATTTACTAAATGACGGCACACAAGTTCTAATAAATATTTAGATATTTTAAACTGCTGGCCTCAGTGGGGAAGTGATATGTTTAGTTATTTTAAATATGTCTAATATAGAGGAATCCAAAAAAAAAATCCCTTCTTTCATAAATAAGTTTGACTCAACTAATAAGGTTTCTTCAAAGAATAGACTTCAAAAAGCCATGAAAACTTTCCACGGATTTCCTATGTGGTCTTCAGGATGTATATTTTACGTACAGTACACTATGAATCAAAAATACTTACAGCTAACAATAACATAGAGCATGGAGCCAAGATAATAAGAGTGTTTGGGACAGAAGAAAGCACAATTTTCCTGCCCACACATGAAGTGGTCATGTGGACTCCAGATGGAGGTTTTCACCATTTCTTCTTCGTATTTGTAGTAGCTAGATGTAGGCATGTGCTTGCAGATGCTATCACCCATAAGTTTTTTTGTTTAACTTTTACTCCAACACTCAATCCTAAGTGACATTTTCCTACACATACTTCCTATCATATTAAACTTTCTCCCAGTAGAAATGTAATTAATTTTATTTACCTCTCCAAGGACATAACATATCTTTAATGTAACATATCTTTTCATCTATTAATATAGCATTTTTAATACTAATGTAATTAGAGTCTCCAGAACTGTACTCAACATTAAGGTTTTATATCTCAGTAATTGAAATAAGTCTTCAATCCAACCTAAATTTAATCATGACCAAATAAGTATAATCATGATTATACTTTAAAATAACCTCAAATATTTTTCTATGAGGTAAAGTTTTCAGTGAATTTCTCCCTTGTTAAATAAATACTTTCAGAAAATATCCCCCAATATTTTTCAATCTTAGTTCATAAAAGTAGGGGAACAATTCATTTTCTTATGTGTACAACTCCACATGAATCAAAGAAAAAACTATTTGCCTGTATCTTCATTAATTAAAAGATCTTTAACCAGACTAGGGAGAATTTAATTTCTCTTTCAGCATAGAAAACATTTCTTGGTTTGTCAGTGTAAACAGGCACACTGATGTGAACATGAACTGGCCGCCATAGTTCTAGGTCAAGAACTGATGGTTTGGGTGTATTCATTCACCCATTCTAAGCCAGGAATACCAAACTAAAGATGCCACCCACACCACTCCAAACTAATTATTTCTTTGAAAGAAAGGGGAACAAAACCAGAAAATAAAATGTCAGCTTTCAAATGCTGAGATTTTAGACAAGTAATTTATTTATGGAACTGGCTCTAGATCTGACACCCTTTTTTCCAGTCATGTGCCCTGAGTACATAGTTTTGAAAGAATGAATGGTAGGATCATCGTCAAGACAAACATTACTTATTTCTAGCTCCAAATTGTAGAGCTGGGTATGATAAAGAAAGAACACTTAAAATTAGCATGTTTCATTTAAGCAAATTATGTCCACTTCAATCTTACACCCACATCTGTGTCTACATAGATGTAGGCATAGTATATTTATGTATTTAATATGTGCACAGTATATACACTTAAACATATGTTTCTGATTGAAGTACAATAATATATATGAAATAAATATGAAATATATACATGTAGACTGCATAATGAATCTCACCAAACACTGAAAAAAAGAGGATGGATAGGAGCATAGAAATATAAGAGAGGAGGTGAACATGTATGCATGTATGGAATTGTCACAATGACTTTCCCTCATATTATTCATATATGCTAATTAAAAAGTTAAATAAAAAGATTAAAATTTTTATTGGATTCTGCACACAGAGATATACGTATATATACATTTAAATAAATTCATTTGTATCTACAGATACACAAACACACAATGCATACACTGGATTTATGTTCAGTAATGATTTCACATCATTTTATAAAAGGTCATAGATACAAACTCTTATTATTGCCACATTTAATTGAGTTATAGTAATATTGTAGGAATGGTATAGAATGTAGAAATAGCCATGACCATGGCTTATTAGGCATATAGTGTAAATGTGTTTGCTGTCTAAATTTTAATTTGAGTAATTAATTCTGCCTACATCAATTTCCTTTTCAGTTTTAAGTATAAATAATGGGTTCTCTACTTTCTATGTCAAAATGGTAACATACTTCTTGTGTAGCAGGTTTAAAGATCGTATTTACTTTGAAAATGCTTTATTTTTATTAGAGTTAATGCCCCAAATACTGTAAAATAATGTTTAAAACATTATTGCACTAAAAATAAATGATATAATTTTATGATATATTATAATTTGATAACTGTTAAATTTGTAATGATTACTACATTTATTCCATAATACCATGATCAGCAATAAATTTTCACATGCCATTTCTTTCTGTTTTAAAATAAGACCTGTAAAAAAATACTATATTTACATGTAAGAAATTGGCATCAGACTCTTATTTGCTCGTAGAGGTAAACAACTCTTTCTGACACTTGAGTTAATTTTTTTCAAAACTTAAAGCAATAATATATAAAGATAGTCACAGGAAAAAAAATAGTAATTTTACATTTCAGTTTTTGTTTTATAGTTTCTTTTATTTATTTTATGTGGATTTTTTTCAGCATGTTCTATCTTCCATCCTGGTTTCCTCCTCCAAACATATCCTTGGAGAACACCTTATGAGATTTCATGTGAAGAATAATTTTAGTGTCAATAACTGGTTACAACACCTTCAAATACTCGTTACCAGGAAACACACTGAAAGGAGAATTCTGCTCATTATTCTCAATCTCAACTTTCATGCTATAAATCCCAAGTGTATTGTTATATAGGTTTTGGAGCAAATTATTTACTTCATTTATCTGATTTTAAAAATGACTTAAATGCTTAAAATAGTAAAATAATAATAGGATGATTAGCAAAAATGGAAATGTGAAAGGGGTAAAGACTACAAAATTTAATTATGAATAAGGTAAGCATTCATGATACTTGACATGACGGATGTATGATAGCTAGAAGCTTGATTGAAGTATTCTGTATTTCTGTGTAAGAGGACATAAAATGCAGAAGACGTTAATTAAGTAGTAAGACTGAGAAACTCAGATTATCCATTTTCAAGATTTTACATTTCAGTGTCATAGCAGTAATGTTACTTTATTTTTATACCTTGAAATGAAATTGATAGTTTATTCATCTGCATTATTAATATATACATTTATTTGTAATAGAGGGCAGGTAAAAAAATCAGGAGAAAACATTTCAAAAAGTCTCAGGAAATGAAACATTGGGTTCAAAATATGAGGAGGCTAAAATCAGACATACTGGTATTATATCATGTTTTTATTTTTAATCATAATTATGTAATATGACTTTTTCTTCCTTTTGTTCCCATCAGCAATTTGGAAAGGACCATAAAAACAATAAAGTATACCCAAGGTTCTAAACACAGCTTTCTGTGAGAATAACAATTATCTCTTCAAAAAGCTGAACTATTCAATAACAATAATAGTGTGACTACTTAGTGGATGATTTTAATGTGTCTGTATGTATGTTTTACATTTAATCTTCTTTATCAGTCTGTACAGTGTATTGTATTGTTATTCCCATCTTACTTATATGGAGATGGAGATGAGCAGTGGTCCCAGAGTGGGGGCATAGTCTGGATTTAAACACCGGCATGCTGATTTCAGAGTCCATGTTGCCATATTATCACACAAAACTGAAATATTCACAAAAGTGTATTTTTGCCAGAGGTGTTTTTTCACGAGGAAACTGTTATGCATCAATTTTGGAGAACAATAATCATAACGTTAGACTGAGTGTAGTTTTATCTTTGTTATAAAAACTCTACGCTAATGCATCAGTTGATACTGTCTGCCATTCTTTTTTTAATTTACAAAAGGCCAGATTCCAAAGGGTCCAAATCATTGTCATTCTGCAAAGTCATTAGGGAAATACTAAAAGGAAAAGAAAGGAAGATTAAATACACGAGGTTCTGGTCTAGGCTTAGTCAACACACTAATTTGGGATATTGGATGAGTCAACTGATCCTTCTGAACCTTGATTTAACAAAAATTTTTTGAATAGAATGAGTGATTACTACAGTCTTTTTGGACTAAGGTTTTACTCACTATCAGCAATACATTATGGAGCACAAATTTTGTTACCTAAGTTTCAGTGATACTCGTAGAACCTGTATATCATGTGATTTTGAAATAAACTTGCATAAAATACAAATGTGAGTCAATTCACCTTTTACTCCTGGATATCATTAGCACATTAAAAATGTTCCATCCATGAGTATTACCTGAAATCCTCTTGTACAGGTAGATATGTCTGCTTGTTAAACTACAGATATAGTAGAAAAATTGCTAAATCAACTGTAGTGTCTCCCCACCTTCTTGCTTTTTAAATAGATTTATTCTCTGAAAAACAATAAAAATAATTTTACTTATAAAGCAGATAAATTTAGAAAACAAATACATTTGTGTGTTATCACAACCATCATTCCTCACTTATGAAAAAGAAATCTAAGATCAGTCAACCATTTTCTCTTGTCATTACTGTGACATTGAATAAGCTTAAAATGTGATGCTTTAAGAACTGTCCCGATACAACTTCTGCAGCCTGAGAACTGAACTCCCCTCGGAAGAAATTCATGCTTTAAGCTGTCTGTCTCTTACTGTACTTCACACTGTCGTCAAAGCATTTTATGAGATACTGCCTGTCCACCTGAGACACAGCATTTTTTAGTGTGACCTTTGCACACCATTTACCAGAAAAATTTACAGAAGTTGCACAAATCTGAAAGTATCATCACTGATGGTTAGAACTGTGTCCTAATGATTTGTAGATATTGTGAACATTAATTGCTATTGCCTTTTCCCAGCCCCCCTGCTGCACTGAGATTTAATCATTTTTCCATATTTTTTGCAGCAGAGCTATCACTGGAAATAATATACTTTTGCATATCCATATTTGGCTGTGGTGTAGATTTTTGTTCACACTGGACTCCCACTGATGTGAACTGATTTGAAGTCTAAAGATTAAATTTAATTTTATATAGCTTATCAGTAGTCCCTAGAGGCTGCAGGATCTTAAAAACTAATATTTTTCAGACATAACCATCAGGAATAGGTAATAATATAACCATTACCCATGTTAACAGGAACTGTAACAAAAGGAAACAAATATAAATGCTCTGAGCAACTTCATTCTTTATAAACAAATATTAATATAAAATTACACAAATTAGAGTTGCAGTTTAACATTATTCAACATGTTTATTCATAATGATTGTTTCATATTTAAAGAACACCAAAATATTGTGTTTTGTCAGCCAAGGACAATAATAGTTTAATAGTAATTTATTTTAAACAGCTACTGATAATACAACCAATCAACACATTAAGTGGTGCCAACATTGGCATCTTGCTAAATAATCTCTAGACATTGCACAGAGAGTACATCTTTCAAAGATAAGTCAACAAGAGCAATCAGAGCAGAAAATTAGAATTTGGTATCTTAGAATTAAAATACAGCTAAACTAAAGTTTTAATTGGGGTGATCTAAAAGGGCACTTGATGTAATGATCTCTTTCATTTGTTACTAATTGTTTGTTCCTGATGAAGAAGAAACATATACATGAATGTTGCTGAATTAAGTTAAGTTGGCAGTTTCCTTGGCAGCTACGCTTTATGGTTAAACAACAAGAGTGGGGAGGGGCAAGCTGCCACATAGAAACACTTCTCCACTTTCTTTCATAGCATGAGAATTGTACCACGAAATTCAGGATTAGGTATAACAAACGTGAAATAATTTAGACTTATTCAAAAGACAATAAAAGTGACATATGGTAATACAAAAAGCCATATTCAGGGTAAGTTAGGCTACTTCTCTCTTGGGCATACTGGTTATACTGACTCAAACTGTTCCGTTGACTCTTGTTAGGCACTGAGTTCGTCTACAGATGGCATCAACTTCTATATCATGTATAGTTTCAATTGAATATTTCAGTTTCTGACATTCACAGACTAAGGCAAAGTACTTTCTATTTCAGAATAGCTATTTGTATAGCAGAATTGATGAAGATAGAATTTTAAGCTATAATTTTTACTTGTGATTTTATCACAAAATTCCAAAGACTCTAAGCAGAGAACGTATACAGAATATTTTTCTTATGGTTAACATATTCTCATAATCTTATTTTCCAAAACTTCAAAGTACTGCTAATTTTTAAAGTACAAAATGAGTCAAATTTTATTTATCTATCTCCATAACTGCATAATTAATTATATGAATAAATAAATTTGGTTTTTACTGCATGCTCTTTTTTTAATTGTTGTGCTGGGTAGGGGTACATTGCTACATTTACAAAAGATCTTACAATATATCAAATATATCATACTTAAATTCACCCCCTCCACCATTTTCCTTTATCATCCCCTCCCCCATTCCTGGAATAGTTTCACCAGGTATCATTTTTTCATTTACATACATGTGTACCCAGTATTTGCACCGTATTCACCCTCCATGCCCTTCCCCCACCTCCTCCTCCCTCCCACTGATGCCAACACCCCAAGGCAGGACCTGCTCTACCTCCTGTTCTACAGTTTCGTATAAGGAAAAAATAATATGCTATATGCTCTTTTGAATTATTATGATGTCTAATAGCTTACTAAAAGTTATACTGAGATTACTATTACAATGACTTTTTAAAAATACAGTAAGCCATTATGTTTTAGATCTATTAAATGTATTGTATATCACTATATGACACTATTATAATTTCTATTCATGAAATTTTTAAATATCTCGTATATTCTAACCACTGTTTAGACCCTGGAGACATAGTACTAAATAAGAAAAAAATATCCCTACCTCAGAGAGCTTACATTTTAGTAGAAGAAACACAACATAAATTAGTAAACAAATAAATATGTGACAATATTGCATAATGGTAAATGCTATGAAGAATTTTAAGGAGGGAGTAACAAGATACAGTGGAGAGTTCTTACAAATTGAGCAGTAAGAAGGACCATCTTGACTGGTGACTTTGAGCAAAGATGAAGTGAAATGAGATTGTGAGCCATGCAAAGATCTGAAGGAAAAGCATTCAGGAAGGGAACAGAAAGAGCAAAGTTACTGAGGCAGAAATGAATTGTTGAATGGAAGAACACAAAGAAGACTTTTGCAGCTGGTGTAATCTTGCTAGGGAGTGAGAGAATGAGCTCCAAGAGAATGGGGAGACTGCCAGGATCACATAGGGCTGCATAAACCACATCCGATAACTACTTGTGGAAGAATTTCAGCCTAATTTTCTTCTCAGTCCTTGTTTTGTGGACATACTTTTGTGCTGCCCTCATTTAGTTTTGGATCTAGATATTCTAATTAGAAGCCCTGGAACCTGAATGCCATAAATATTTGTGTTCTTAAAATAGTTTAATTAGAGTTAGAAGTTTTGTTCTTAGTTATATTATTTGTACTAGTCAGTGCAGGGTGAATGCACAAGAATTGAAGGATTTGATAAGTGGGTTCTTCTCTTCTAAAATGCATTTAAGTAATGAATGAAATGTGCTTTGTACCAAAATATTACCAATCTGAATACCGTCTTTGTACAGGGACTCTTGAAAGTTGCCATAGATAATGCCAGAGCTCAAGAGAAACAGGTCCAACTGGAAAAAACAGAGTTGAAGATGGATTTTTTAAGGGAAAGAGAACTAAGAGAAACACTTGAGAAGCAGCTGGCTATGGAACAAAAGAACAGAGGTATTTCTGAAATTCCAATGAAGTTTAATACTATAACCAAAATGGTAAACATAATAATATATGTGATGGTTAGTTATTTACTTTGAGATGGCAGCTTTTTTGTTAATTTTTAGAGTAAAATTTGAGTTCTATGCTCATTTTATTTCTTAATGTCTAAAGTACACATTTTTTCTTTTTTTTGTTAAGTCTGGGGATTATAATGATCCAACACATCACTGATTCTATTATTTTTATTGTTTACAGAGTTTAGCAAATCCATATTTTTTAAGTTAAAAATGAGCTCTGATAAGATGACAGCATAATAAAACTTTCATGTTCATTCACAATTGCCTTTTGAAAATCTTAAGAGTTAATGTCATAAAGCTAAAATAGAAAATACTGATTATTCAAGCAAAGCCTGTTTAGTAAGATATTTATCAACTGAAATTGAAGACTGATGAATATCTGAGCAAATGACTGAACTTAAGTGTTCGTATAATTTTCTTTCTGAATGCCTCATTTTCATTCAGCAAGGTCAAGTACACAAAGTATAAACTAATATAAATTCTCATTGGGTAAAAATAATGATATTATTGATCTGGGAATTGCTTCTTTTAAACGTTGTACAATGCATCTATAGATAATTTTGAAGGTCATTCATTTTTGTATGTTTATGCATGAATTTGAAGAGTATTTACACCTCTCACTTGTTTCAACTATCAGATTCATGTAAGGGTTCTAGAAAAGGGACATTTCCTTTTCTCTCATTTATAAGTATCCAGTATAAGTGTTCCACATATTCTCCTTCTGTATGTTTGATGTTGTTATTTAAATATCAGTTTCTGCTTAGCACGTTCTTTCATTAGTTATTATGGGACAAAAGCTGGTGAGTTCCTGGAATAAGGTTAAGCTGTCACTCAGGCACAGTTCTAAATAATACGGCTTCACTTAGATTAAGGTACTACAATAATTAAATCAAGGTAAACAATGACAAAGGATGCTTTCTAAGTGAATAAGGAAGTTTGGTCTTAATGTCCAATCTGGGATACCATTTGGTCTTAGTGTCCAGTCTGGGATACCATTTTCCATCAAATAGCTATGTCTTGATTTCATTCTGATTTGGAGAAGTTAATTTTACAAGATTGAAAGACAGACCCTTGAATTCCTAAAATAATCCTTTGGATATTTAAGAGACCTTCAGAAATTTATTGGTTTCAACCATATAGGAAGTTTTACATTTATTCTGTTTTAATCCTTTAACCACTAGAGGGCAAAACATTCACAGATCAAACTTCCCATTTAATTGATTAAGAATTAAAGGTTATCATTATCAAAACTCATCTGTTATGAATGTGACTATTGAAGTAGAATATTACTCCAAAGACAAAACACAGCAATCAATCACACAGAAGGAAAAATGAATGGTCAATGGAAGGGTGCTGGGTATTGAGCTGTTAGTACCATGAGAGCATGTAGTTTAAATAAACATTTCAAACATTACTGTTTCTTTGCAAAAAGACATCCATAATCATCTTTGGAAAGGGAATTAGAAGGAAAATAATTTTATTAAGATAAACATATGATTTTCACACTGTTATGTAAAGGAAATTAGGATTTACATGAAATGTTACAATTATTTTTCTTACTATAGTCAATGTACATTTTGGCAAAGAAGTTTTTAAAATGTATGATATAATGACAATAAACCCAAGAAGCTAATGATCTGCCATCCAAGCAGTAATATTACTATATTAGTAATAGAAAAGGAGATGTAGAGATTAGAAAGTGAAATTCACATATTTTAACCATTATTACTTTATTTTACCTTTTGACTAAATATTGTGTTAAAGGGTTGTTCTTAGTGGGTAGTAAGAAATCAAATAATAAACTTGCAAAGATTACTCTTCATGACTAACAATAGTGTTAGAAAAGAGTTAGTCATAGTAATTTTGTCCCATTATCATCCATAATGCTTATCAATGATCAAAAAAGATGATTTCAAATAAAAACAGATAGATGCCTTTCATATGCTGCCTAATCCTATACATTTACATGTAGACAAAGTTAAAACAATTTAATTATACTTTCAGTAAGTTCATTTACATTTTGTGAAGTATACTTAATGGTTAGTATTTATTAATTATGTAACAATATTTTAATTGTTCCATAGGAGAAAAATGTATGATAAGCAACTTTTTATATCATCACCTACTTTTTATATAAAACATTGTTATCAGAGGTGCATTATTATTAGTAGTGAAGTTTTACATTCCACCAGATTCCTGCAGAGTAAAAGTATAATCATTTTCTTAAAATATGCTATTATGCTATAAATTTGCTATGAAGAAATTATTCTTTGAGAAAAATGATAATAGCTTCATCCAAACAAATTATTGCTTGTATATGTTAAACAATAATTAAGGATATTTTGTTCCTCATGTAAAAAACATTTATTATATTTTCTAGAATGTCAAGAAAGAATTATTAAAAACTGAGTTGGTGTAACATTTTATACACAGTATTTTTAGGGGAAATGTCTTTTGAGGAGATGGGAGACCTGTTTATAAAAGCTTGCACTACTCAGTACTCTGCACTAACCTGATTCAAGGGCAGAGAACTAAGCTACAAAATTCATTTAATCAAGCTTCCTTTATTGGTGAATACAAATATTTACTAAAATTAGCATCCCATTAAATTTATCTCTCTACACAGGACAATTAAAATCATTCTGGTAATGTAATAGTTCAAGGCTAAATGAAAATTGGTTTCCTTGGACATTTTATTGGGAATTATTTTAGGTAAAGGTGTTTTCTTTTTTAACTTCCTCCTTGTGGGTAGACTCTGACCAGCATGAAAAAATAATGATAAAGTAAAAAAAATTGTAGACCATTTGTAAATTAACAACATTAAAAAATCTTTAAAAAGTAATGTAACATGTTCTTTTCTAGCCATAGTTCAAAAGAGACTAAAGAAGGAGAAGAAGGCAAAGAGAAAATTGCAGGAAGCACTTGAATTTGAGACAAAAAGGCGTGAGCAAGCAGAACAGACGCTAAAACAAGCAGCATCAACAGACAGTCTCAGGGTCTTAAATGGTAAGAAGGTATATTTTTATGCACAACCAGATTTGATTTCTATACTCAAAGGACAATTTAGACATGTGTTTGTACTTATTTTTCATATTTCTATGCCTTGTGATTCATTCAGATATACTAATAGCTGAAAGTGTGGTAGGAGAAATGTTTTGGGGCAAATGCTTTATTTCATAGGTGCTTCTACTCTTTTGTGTTATTTAACTCCAGTATCTGGGACCTGGAATTGCTTTTGGGCTTAACAAAATCTTTTTCTGCTGAAACATGATAAAATATTATTGTAAGAACTTCCACTCCCATCCTATCTTATGAACATTATTACATTGCTTATCTATTCAAATCTCCTGAAAATTCTTATGGTTATAGTTTCTATTCAACCTTTAAAAGATTACAAAGATTTATGTGATTTTAATTCAGCACCGAAGTAACAGGTTGCTCTTTTTTTTTCCTAAAGGACAATAGGAATCAAATGAAATATATGTCACTCTTACCTTTCTGTGCTTTTAGACTCTCTGACCCCAGAGATAGAAGCTGACCGCAGTGGCGGCAGAACAGATGCTGAAAGGACAATACAAGGTAGGAATCTGCAGAAGGCTATAAATCTAGATCTTGCTATATGAGTTTTTCCTCAGCTTTAGCCTGCTATTCAAGCATGTAGCCTACCATCTGGGCCACATCAAAACAAGTTCAAACAAGGTCAAGTTCATCTTGCTTGTTTATATGAGTGAATTCATTTTGTGCTGATAGATTTTCTTTAAATTAACAGGTCATTTCTGTTTATACAATGCAATTAAAAAGGAATAATTAATTTTAAACAATGTATGATTTAATCTTGGACACAGTAAATGTGTTTTATTGAATGTTTGAAGCCTAATCTAATGGAGGAAGGGTTTATAAGTTCTATCCTACATAAATAAAATCATGGTAATGCTTAAAATTAAAAAATGTCTAAATACTTTGTGACAGCTACTGCAAGACGTATGCAGAGGGACTAGTTGAATGTTAACAATAAATAAGATTGTTTAGCTCCTGTGTGAATTACCAAATGTTCAATATGCTGTTATATACATTTTAATAACACAAATCTGCTGAGCAAAATCATATATAAAATACTAAAAGGAGTTGTATTAAACACTCAGAAGAGCTAAGTATGTATATTGCTGAGAACTCACTGTTAGGAAAGAATAAAATCAAAGGTAGCACTTATTATCAGACATCTACTCTAAACAACAAACCATCTAACAACATGAGCACTAAAGAGGAAAAAATAAAGATTTGTTTTCTGTCTTTGACAATGATTCTTCACTGGAAATCCTAAGTGATTACCTACTATGACCCTCCCCATTGCTTTTATTCTGCATTTCAGCCTCAATCAGTTTTGAGATGTTCTATGACATCTATTGTGCTACTTAATCAGCTCCAAAAGTAACATTCATGGCTTAGTGTAAAGGAAGTATACTTTTATCTAGTATCATATGTGCAATAAGTAGCAATAAGAAACTTGAAGAAACATTTCTAGAGAAAGACTTACTTTTTGGCCTATATTAATTTTACCTGAAGTCATGATTCATGATACACATAAACATTTGAACAAGTTACTAGGAGCAAAAAAAGCCAGTCCTCAATAAGGGGGATGATAGCCTTTAATAAGGCCAATGTAAGTATCAGACTTAGTTTATATGAAAGGGGATTATTCCTGTACTGCTTTAAGAGAATGTGAAGTAGCCTAAGAAAGCAGATGATCCTCCAGGTAGCTGTGATATAAATTATCTGGTATATATAGATATCTCAAGGTGGACTTTTTCCTTAGTTCACATAACATGCTACCCATAAGTTCACTGTTAACAACATTTTGATCATTAATAAAACTATAGTTATTCCTATTTTAAATTGTAATACTCACATATATTCAAATATACACTTTTTTCAGTACTACAGTTTGAATTCAGGGCCATGTTGTTGCTAGGCAAGTACTATACCACTTGAGCTATCAGATATGCACTTTAATATACGTAAAGTCTTGCTGTATGAGATCAAAATATTGACAATTCTCAAATTCTATTGTTGTGATTTGCTTATTCTGAAAAAAAAAACCCACCTTCAGTCACAAATTGCCTTCCTTTTGCTATCCAGAATGCTCTCAATTGAGTAGCACATTAAACCCTTTCAAATAATTTCATAATTAGACAAATAAAACATTTGTATAGTAATTATGCATAGTAATTTAAAGCCAAGTGTAAATTATTGTTTTTAATTATAACATAAAATCATTCATTCATACTACCTGCCAATTGTTATATTGTTCAAAATGCAGTTAGCTTTCAATAATAAGTTGTTTACTAATGATTATAATTTGTTTAGGTATGATTTTCCACAAATGTAATATAAAACCATGGAAAGTGAATGTTTCTAGCTGTTATCTGCTTATAAAGATATTTCACTAGCAGCTGGATTATTCCAGAACTTTTAAAAAAAACAGAACGTAGAGATCTACTGTTACTCTCACTCCATTAAACAAACGCATTTTGCTCTTTTAATTCTTATTTCTAACCTTAGACTAAATGAATACTTTTGGAAGCTAACAAACAAAACAAAATTAAGTGAACAGAAAAGGCAAAGAAAGAAGTCTGAATTTAGTTGAGTTCTATCTAAGCACAAGTATAGCAAAGGCAGATAAGAAAGAACCAAAATCCATTCCTAATTTGTGAGATGGTCTATGTCATGATTTTTTGGCAGCAGTGAGCTCTTGCTACTTCACAATTCAAAAGTGACATTAAGACAGCCTCCTGCTTCCCTTGCTTTCTCTCTCCCACTGTCCCCCAAGCCCAGGTGCTCTGAGACTCTGTGTACTCTTTCTTACTCCCAATTCAACCATAACTGAAATTATTCCCTATTGCAAGATAAACTCAACTTAATTGGGAAAGAAAAAAAAAGATCACAATTCTTATCCTTATCATGTATTTTTAACATTTTAACAGTAATAAATAAATGCCACACAAATTAGTCACTTAGAAGTTGGGGCACCTAAATACTGTTCAGGTGTCAAGTAATTACCCTCATATAAGCACCTTGGGTTAGAGCAAATATTGCCTCACTGGAATTTTATATCACCATTTCCATAAAACTAGAAAGGTGGGAAAGAGGAAACCAGAGTGGTTTAGAAAATATTCCTGAGAAAAAAACCCTAAATACTGTGAGGTTTTTTTGGATAAAGTTAATCAGCTCATTGCACACAAGGATAAATTCTTCATTTCTGATGTTTTTAGTAACTAATTAAAAATTCATGATTTTGGTGGAGACATTATCAGTATAAATAAATATCCCAAACTAGCGAAAACAATATGTCTGTCTTATTGTCTCTTATGCTTTCTCTCTAACAAAATCGGAGATAAAGAGGGCGGAACAGGTTCTGCCTGGAAGTGTGGGAGGTGGCAGGTGGGGGGGTGCACAAACAATGTATACACATGTAAGTAAATGTACAAATGATAAAATAAAAGGGGAAAAATATAAATAAATAAATATCCTCCTAAATTAAAAATAACTTATTTCAGGATTACATTGCTTAGAAATTAACTAGTTCATGCTATGAATTGTAACAGATTTATATATCATGATTTGTGTCAGAATATGAAAAACTTACTCTATGCTTTTTCTAAGCTCTTTCAAATATACAGACAGAGTTCATATAAGCACAGACTGACTTGGTTTTTGGATTAGTCAATAAATATCCTTCAAACAACATCTTCTACAAATACAAGTGCATATATATTGTGTAGAGCCAAATCTGAACATCTTAGCAAGTATGTACTAAAATAATTTCTTCAACTTAACATATTTTGACAATTTATAAAGGGCACCTCTCCAACCCATTCAGACATTTCTTAACTGCTCAGATAATAATATGTAAAAAATTTTGGTTGTCTTACAGAGACCTCAAAGTTCAATGTATAAACCAAAAGTATTTCCTCTGTCTCCACAAGCATGTCTTCCTCCTGTGTTCTTCCCTGTGGTATACTCAGCTGGTGCATTCTATTATCTTTCTAAATATGTAATGAAGGAAATTGAACTTGGCATTTTCCTCCTTCACTCCCTCTACACACAATCAGACCTCTTCTCTCTTTGTGTCAGCTCTTCTATCATACTGGAATTTTAGTTGTTCTTTTCCTGAAAGTGTCACTTCTTTTCCCACCTACTAGGGGCATTTCCCCCTCTTCTTTGCTTTTTCTTATCCTTGAAGTCCCAGCTTAAAAGTTACTTCCTTGAAACCACTTCCCCAAACCACTGACCCTGTGCCTTAGGACCATTTCCACCTTCCAGACGTTCTTACCATATTTTTGTCTCTCCTCAAGAACACTGCTGTGTGTTTGTAGTTCCTCCTCCCCACCCCCTGTTTTCTTTTTCTCTAAATAGTAGCTGGGACAGAGTGTGAGTGTGAGCTATTCTTCTTTTACAAGTGTATCTTACTGTCTGGCAGAGTGTTTCGTATATTGTGACACTTGCAACATCCCTAAAAGAATGAATTAGACATTGATAAATTAGGACCTATGTTAGATCTTGTGGCTATGACCATCCTTATTGTTCAAAAGGTCTCAGACTTCAGTTGGAGAGACTAATGGAAGGAAATAAAGGATGGCATGATTCTGACTAGGAAAGCCCAAATCACAAGTTCTGATAAATTAATTTCATATTGGATAGCTGCATTAAGAGCATTTACTTATTCTTCTTTGTGTATGTTTCTAATGACATTTTATTCTTTGTACATTTGACCTAAGATGTGGATTATGTAAATGTTTTCTTACATCAGGTTTTCTACTTTAAATATATATTTAATTTAACATCCTATCATCACATTTACTAAATAGCACATTTTTTTCATTCATTCTACTCACTACCTCATCCCTCTTTTCTGATTTTTTGTTATGATTGCAAATGGTTAAATCTTCAATATTCTACCATGTATCAATTCTACTATTTTGTGGTAGAATCTCAATATTACCATTCCACCTATGTCTTTGATAAAAACTCCCAAATGTCTCACAAGTTTACTTTCTTATTAGTAGCTTTATGTTTCTACTTTTAAAGTAAAAACTTATTATTTTAAACAAAAAATACTGTTAAAATCAGTGTAAATATAAACCATAGTTCCTTTGGCATCTTAAACGATCTGAAAGTTATACTTGCAAAAATCTTGACTTCACTTGAAAGTACATCTCTTTTATTTACATCCAATGGCCATAACCAAAACTTCTTGGCCTTTTATTCTTTTTTGACTGATCTCAGATCACAGAAAACCAAATATTATTCCAATAAAAAGACATAAAAGACTTGCCTACATATTAACAATCTTTTTTCCAATTCAAAGATATTCTTTTTCTGCTTCTTAGATATTTCAAGATGAATGCTAAATTTTATAGTTATTCATTTATTCAGCAAATACTTTTGCAATATTGATTATATGTCAAGGATACTTTTATGCTGTTGCTAGCTTAGTCTTGGGAAAGAATGTTAAGATGAATGAAATATCTTTATTGTGCCACAGAGGAAACTGAGGCTGAGTAATGGTGGATTGACTTGTT